TGCCTAGTCAGTGGTGGGTGGGACCCGTGGCAGCACTTGAAGCAGCCTGAGGTGCCAGGTAATACTGAGCTTAAGAAAGGCATCTTGCAGAAACTTCCTCAACAGCATCTGTGAACTTGGAAGTGTGTGGAGAAGTCTATCTTCTCTGACAGCCCTGCCACATTGACTCCACATGTCTCTGTACATCTAGAGACACCTGCTCAGCCTAGTGTGCCAAAAGATAGAATATACTTTAAATAAAGAGGAGCTAACTTCTCCAAGTGTGACCCTATTTAATATCCAGATACACTGTCAGTGGTGTTATCCAGTGAGTAAAATAGTTCACAAATGTCCCCCAAAAGAAGAGATTTCTTTCCTTTCCTTATACGCTTCCACTACTTGGTGTCTATATGAAAAAAAAAAGCTAATATACATAAGTAGTATGTACCTATCAACCTTGAAAAACAAAGAAGAAAACCTATGAGATAGATGTATATTCTGTTTATAGAAAACATAATAAGTGGGTCAGAGACAGAGTATGATGTGTCAATCACAAAAAGTAAACACATTGTATAACTCCACACACTGATTGTGGTTGTTTAATTTTGTTTTTAAAAAAACACTAATTAATGGTAACCGTCTAATTTTTCCATGTGACCTAGAAAAATTAAATTAAAATTTAACATCAAATAAATAAAAAGACCGTGGCTAATTGTCACTTATACTTTTCTTACTTGACAAAATACTTTTACCTTAAGTTTTGCAAATGTCCATGTTATCTTCTGCCATGCTATTGCCTAACCTTAATTTTTGTAAGGTTTCTCATAAAATACAGTCAGGAAAAATGATCTCTTCTTATTCATAGTTGACCTAGGTTCTCTGTCATGCATTTGATAATGGCTAAGATAAATGAACTATTTGTTTTGGGGGAAAGTGATAGGTTACTTCAACTTAACATTTAAATTTATTTTTTATCTTCGTTTTACAAAGTATTTGGTTAAAGCAAGAGATATAATGACTAATTTATGGTAATGCATTTCTTATGAATATAGACAGTGGCTTGAGTAATTACACTAAAGCTCTTTTAGCCTTATTGCTTTTCAATATACTTCTGTAACTAATGGCTATTTTACATGTGTGATACACACTTTAATTAATGTCAAACAGTATGGTTGACTTATAGTGTGTTTTTAAATGCTTACCCTGGCAAGTGAGAACCTAGCTGTGTTTTAAAAAATTACTTCTCTATACATCCAGTTTAAATCGTTGTGTAGATTATTCATCATGAAAATGTTTTATTTCATACTGCTTTTTGGATGGACTTATTCAAACACCCTCTTGTAATCTTGTCTAGAGACACAACAATTATATTGTTATTAAGTTTTTTTTCTTAACTATTTTTATTGTTCTATACATTTTCCTCTACTTTCCTCCCTTACTCACTTTAACCCTTCTACGCTCCCCCATAACCCAACACTCCCAAATATTCAGGAGATCTTGTCTTTTTCTCCTTCCTACTTAGATCCATGTATGTCTCTCTCAGGGTCCTCCTTGTTGTTACATATCATAATGCCAGCAGCAATAAAAACAATTGTTTTGGTGTATTTTGAAATATTTTGATATTAAATCATTATTCCTTTGTTAAATGTTTCTTATACAATACTTTTAAAAAGTAATTAATTGTTAATTGATTTTTTTATTTTAACACATTCTGAGTATTAATTTGTTCTGAAATTTTACTTAAGCGACAAGAGCATAGAGCCAGGTATTCTATGCAATGGACTCACAGAGGTATGTAATTTAAATTTGTAGTCTTCACTTCAAAATCTTGTTATGTATCTACTAAGAAAATGAAAACCACATTTCTTAGCACTGTATGGGAAGATTGTCACACACAACACATTTCTGAGATATCTAACTTCATGAATTAAACTAAAATTTAAGTCAGTGCTCTACCAGTCAGAAGACTATTCTCAAGATGGAATCTTAGTGTGTGTTTTATCTTGTTTAACGTCATGCTAATTAGGGGTTGGAATTTCCCATTATTTTGAGTTGACTCTGAAAGTCAGACCTGTGCACAAAATAGTTTCCCATTTCAGATATTTGTAAATGAGTTATCATAATGCTCCATATTTTAAAGTTCTATTTGGTGAGATTAGGTTTGTATAATTAGGGAATATAAGAAACTACATAATTTGCTATCTTTAATGGGAGACCTACCAAAGCAATATCTTTATCTATAGTGTTAGATCCCAGGTTCTTCCCCTGCTCCTTGAGGCACAAAATGCAAAATGCAAGGACTGTTTACACTACCAGCCAAACTTCCTGCCCATTTTGTGCTGGCCCCACTTTTAGCATGGTGATTTAGCTGTAGGCTTGTTCTACCCTTGATATGGTAATTTTTCACCTGCAGAGGAGGGTTCCCATGGCACCCAAACCTCTCTTAACTGTCTGTTACTGAGCTCTTGCTAGCACTCCCTGCTTAGGAGGAATTTCTCATACAAGCGCTAAGTTGGCCGCACCTGAGGGGATCTCCTTTACTGGGGAAGGGTATATTAACCTGGCAAAAGCTGAATAAACTTGGCATTCACCTGTTGGCGAATGACCTGGACTCTCTGTGTGTGTGTCTTGTGTTTAATCCCTAGGCCCTTGCCCAAGCTCATACTGGGAGGGTGGTGATGCAGATCTTGAGTGATTCTACAAATGGCGTCTCTGGGTGGGCAATTGAAAGCTACTGCAACCGAAGAGTGCTTGTCTGCAAAACCCATCTACGAGTTTTGAGGGGTAAGGATCTCCATGGGGGTCACCCTCAAAAGGCTGGCCAGCGGTAAGTGAATTGCGGAGGATGGATTGGCCAGGATTGGCAATGGGTGTGGGAACTTCTGCTCCAGGATAAAGACCAGTTAAACAGGTCAATGATTAGGTCTTTTGGAGAGAATGAGCACCAGTATTAAATTTGAGACAACACAAATTTATGTAGGATGGTTAATTGCCTAATTTTTTTGAGAGAATTTAGTCCCTGGCTTTTACCTACTGGGGGCTTTAAATTTACTAGAGAACAGGCTGGCGAGGCCTCGCCCGACAGGAGTTCATTTCCAAGGCAATGGGCCCAGGGCAGCTGGCAGAATGGGAATACTCTTTTCACCGTGGCACCCGGCCGGGCCTTGGGCTACACTCTCATATCCTTGAGGAGATTCAAAAAACAGTAGCTATGAGTTCTACTAAGAGTTTTTGAAAAACAAGAAGGCAGCTTTACAGAGCCTGTCTTTCATGGGGAAATAAAAAAGCTCCCGTACGTGTTTGGGGGGCGGGTCACTGAAACGGTGGCCACAGCTGCAGGCGGGCCACAGGGACTGCCCAAGGGCGCACACCGCTGTCAAGATGCACATAGAGCCAAAGAGAGAGAGAGAGAGAGAGAGAGAGAGAGAGAGAGAGAGAGAGAGAGA